ATGAGAGAGGTTTTTGGGTTACGGTCCCGTTTCTGAGAAGACTGTTTTTGACTGTAAGGAGATTTTGATGTATGCTTTTCTCTTTGAGGAGAGACTTCTTGTTTGAGGGAAGATCCTGAACTACGTTCTCGCCTACAGGATAATTTTGAACTTCTGTCCTGTCTTTCAGTGGACAGCTCTCGCTTGCCAAAAGATCTTGAGCTACATTCTTGCTTGACGTAGGATTTTGGACTTTGACAACGTAAGTCTCTTGAGGTCTGATTTGTACTAGAATGCTTGGAACTGATGCTGTGATGAATCCTTGGAGAACAAGACTTGGATTTTACCAGGCTTTCAATATTACGATTTCCATTAGAAGAAATAGAAGTAGACACCTGAAAAGAGAATGAAACCATCCAATAAAAAAATCAAGAGAAATCCATCTTTTTCCAATTGAAAATTCAGAACCACTCATAAAAATTCAAAATGTCATTAATACTAAACTCTAGGCTAAAATGTTAATCTCTCAGCGTCCTGGCCTCTGAATGCTACGTTATCTAATTCTACTATATAATTGTGACATGTTATGTTTCCCCCCCCTCACACACACACACCCATAGCTCAAGTTTAAGAATGTAAGAATTCTCTCTTTTTCTATTCTGAAATATACTGAGATCATCCTCTATTTTTCCTAAATAACAGACTATGTGAACTATAGGAATTATATTTATATCTATATCTATGGGGGACCAAGTTGGAGATGCTTTAAAGTGTCAAAGCAGGTTTTGTTTTTCTTGGAAGCAACTTTTCTCCTCCTCTCTATAACCCTCATTCACTCTTCACTCATAGCCTAGTCCCCCCCCCTCCAACTAACAATTATTTTCATTATGACCAGAATCAACTTACGGAGTCTTTGTAACATTCAGAGACTTTGAGATACTGGTCAGCTTGGTTCACATTCCAGGGTGGCTCCTGATAATCTTCAGGTGCCCATGCTCTTTGGTTTTCAGCCTGTTTTTGTGGGGAAAATAGGAAGAAGTTGTGTTGGATATGTTCACTGCCTTGAGTTATTTGTATTTGACAGGGTATGAATGAATGATTGAACAAATGAATGAAAAGGAGAACTTTCCCAAGTAAACAAATAGAGATAAATGAAATAAAACACATGGATTAGGACAAAAAAACCTGAAGTGGAGGACACACAGAATAATCTTTTACAGCTTGCTGCCTTCCATATATGTTTAAACTTCAACTTTTCCCAGGGAATTAGTTTTCTTGGGGACTTTCTGACATAAAAGGAACTGAACAACCAATGTTTGTGTAGTCACAAATAAATTCAAAATTGGATCTGCCTATATTTTCAAGGAAAATATATGAAAATATTCCCATTCTTACCAATTCAATAACTTTTCTTCTCACTAGCACAGGTACACAGCGAATATCATTGAGGGTACTTGGAAGGCTGGAAAAACCAAGAGCTGGAGCAACAACATAAGCTTGAGAGTCGTCTGTATCATCCTGCTTGGCTGAAGTTTCAGTCTATGACAATTTAAAACAAAATGGAGATTAGAGCATTTTGGGAAGCAGATTTTCAGACATAAGAATAACCAAAATTCCTGTAGTCAGAAATAAATTCCAGATTCCAAATTGAACATACTTATATTTCCAAGGAAAATATATACAGAGGGCTTTCCCATTCTTACCAGTCCAGTATCTATTTCTCTCACTTGCACAGGCTCAAAGGGAATATCATTGAGGGTACTCGGAAGGCTGGAAGAATCAAGAGCTGGAGCAACAAAATAAGCTTGAGAATCGTCTGTATCATTCTGGTGCTTGGCTGAAATTTCAGTCTACATCAATTTAAAACAAAATGGAGATTAGAACATTTTGGGAAGCAGATTTTCAGACATAAGAGGAATCGAACAACCAAAATTCCTGTAGTCACAAATAAATTCCAGATTCCAAATGGAACATATTTATATTTCCTTTTTTGTTTTTGCAGTAATTTTTTTTATGTTTATATTTTTAAAAAAAATCTCTTTAGGTGAACAAGTTGATTCCAGGTTTTTACATTTCAATACAAATGTGACCACGATTACATATTCAGCTTTCATATCCAAATTCATATCATATTATTACTTGTTTCATTTTTTTAAATATTCTCATACATTATTTTACAATATTGTCAATATTCTTATTCAATTTCTATATATTCATTACTCTCATTTTATCCAGTTTCATTTCATATTATAGCTTATTTCATTTTTCTTTAAATATTCTCATGCCTTATTTTACAATATTATCTATATTCTTATTCAATTTCTATTAGTCACACACATTTTCTTATATCTGTCACATTTGCAAGTTTTATCAAATGCTATTATTCCATTCCTTGTTCGATAAAGTTTATGTTAATTCTTATTATCCAAAAGCTTTCCCCTTTTATTGTCAATTCAAGCTTGCCATCCCTTTACTTTATACATTTTATCCATTTTACTCTCTTTGATCCATTATGAAAATTTATAATATAGACATTTTTAATTACTATATTCTACATTAATAATAGTCCCTTAACTACTATAAATTATATACATATGCATATATCAGATTCCACATGGTATTTCCTTTACTCTATTACATTCTGTAATATATTTATTCCAAAAACCTTTACATAATAAATTTACTTTAGCCATTTTAATCCATTCAATTATATTTAAAGGCTAATGGTAGTTTATCCATTTCAATTCTCATATTCTCTTTTTACTTTATTCATCACATTATTAAATATTAATATTCTTATAGTAAATTCTCATTTCCATATCTATTTCAAGTTAGATTTGTACCTAGTTTAACAATAATTCTTAATGTAATGTCAATTCCAATATTTTCCATTTTTATATCTATATTCTTAAATACCACAATACATTTCCATGCAGAATCTTCTTTCCTAATCGTCTATTACCCATCGTCTCTAATCCTCCCGACTATATAATTTCTCCTCATCTTAGCTTGCTTTCTATTTTCTATTGTTTTTTGGTCCTTTCCCTTAATTTCCCTTCTTTTCCCTATTATTTCCCTTAATTTCTTGCTCCAGCTATTTGTTTTGTCCCCCTCCCTCTTCTGATCTTTCCTCTGTAATTCTCTATTCTGCAATTCCCTCTTCAAGAGTTGTTTCCTCTTTCTTTGTTTAACCTTCCAAGCAATTCCCCCTTTGTTTATCACATCAAACCTTAAAATTTTAATTCTTTTTTAAATCTTGTCTTAATGTTTGTTGCTCCACTTGTTCTTAAAGGCTGATTTCTTCTTTGCTTAACTCCTCCCCCTCTAGCTCTCTTTTTCTTTTTTGATTTGCATCGCCATTTCCAGTTTTTCTAATATAGTACTCCATAGTTCTGAGCTTTCTTTCATCATTTCCTTCACGCTTTGCAATTTTGACCTTATTTATATATATATATATTTATTTATATATATATATATTATATATATATATATTATTTATATATATATTTTGTGCACTTCTTCTTTTCCTTCTTTAATGGTTGTATCCAATCCAATTATCCAGTAGTTTATTTCAATCAGCATCTTTTATATTTAATTCGAACAGTCAATGTCTATAAGTCTTTATTTCTCAGTTCTATTCAATTTGCTTCTTTTCAAGCTCCTTTTCAAAGCCAACAATCAATTCCGGAGTAAAATCTTCATACATCCCTTTACAGTAATGTTTTAACGTTCCACTTTTCTGCATTTTTGTTACAATAAAATTCTTATTTCATTTCAAGCTCTAGTCTTAAATAGACCAAGCACTTTTCAAAAAGTCAATGAAATTTTTCCTTTTTCAGTTCCACTTTCCACCTTTTATTTTTCACTTTTTCCTTTTTTAAGCTTTTATTAATTTCACTAATTCCAATTATTAGCTATTATTTCTTTTTAATACAGTCAATTCCAGCATTTAAAATGCCTATTTAGTGCCAAAATCCAAATAGTTATCCAATTCAATTTCCAAGTCTGTTATAGTTACACGCTTTCCTGGTAAGTTTATTCCACATCCAATTGAATTCTTTTCAAGTCCAAAGTCCAATTTCTTGAATTTCCAATTTTCCTCTCTCTCTTCAGTCACCGCTTCTACAGTCTTTAATAATAACTCTTCCCTATAATTCCGGGGTTACCTTTTAATATCCAGATATTTGCCCTGGTCCACACACTGTTCACAGCTTCACCGCTCCAGCACAACCTTATTTCACAGACAGACTTCCGTCTTCAGGGTGGCCATTTTAGACCACTGCTACAGCCCATCTTTGGAGGGAGAGTTCCTAGCCAGGGAGGGGAGATGCAGCTCTTCCCTCGACCTGGCAGGCAGTCTCCCCCTTTTTAACCATCCCTACAAGGTGGCTCCGGCCCCGTTTGGGACACTCTAATGGGTAGAGCATGAATCGAAATGGGGCACAATTGCAGACTCTCATCCATCTTCAACGGAAGTGCTACCAGAAGTCAACCAATATTTCCAAGGAAAATATATGCAGAGAGCTTTCCCATTCTTACCAGTCCAGTATCTATTTCTCTCAGTAGCACAGGCTCACAGGGAATATCATTGAGGGTACTTGGAAGGCTGGAAAAACCAAGAGCTGGTGCAACAACATAAGCTTGAGAACCATCTGTATCATTCTGGTGCTTGGCTGAAGTTTCAGTCTGTCAATTTAAAACAAAATGGAGATTAGAACATTTTGGGAAGCAGATTTTCAAACATAAGAGGAATTGAACAATGAAAATTCCTGCAGTCACAAATACATTCCAGATTTCAAATTGAATTTACTTTTATTTCCAAGGAAAATATATACAAAGATTTTTGCCATTCTTACCAGTCCAGTATCTTTTTCTCTCACTAGCACAGGCTCACGGGGAATATCATTGAGGGTACTTGGAAGGCTGGAAAAACCAAGAGCTGGTGCAACAACATAAGCTTGAGAACCGTCTGTATCATTCTGCTTGGCTGAAATTTCAGTCTACGACAATTTAAAACAAAATGGAGATTAGAACATTTTGGGAAGCAGATTTTCAGACACAAAAGGAATCGAATAACCAAAATTCCTGTAGTCACAAATAAATTACAGATTCCAAACTGAACATACTTCTAATTCCAAGGAAAATATATACAGAGGGCTTTCCCATTCTTACCAGTCCAGTATCTTTTTCTCTCACTAGCACAGGCTCAAAGGGAATATCATTGAGGGTATTTGGAAGGCTGGAAGAATCAAGAGCTGGAGCAACAACATAAGCTTGAGAATCATCTGTATCATTCTGGTGCTTGGCTGAAATTTCAGTCTACGTCAATTTAAAACAGAATGGAGATTAGAACATTTTCGGAAGCAGATTTTTAGACATAAATGGAATCGAACAACCAAAATTCCTGTAGTCACAAATAAATTCCAGATTCCAAATGGAACGTACTTATATTTCCAAGGAAAATATATACAAAGATTTTTCCCATACTTACCAATTCATTATCTTTTTCTCTGACCAGCAGAGACTCATGGGGAATATCATTGAGGGTACTTGGAAGGCTGGAAGAATCAAGAGCTGGAGCAGCAGCATAAGCTTGAGAGTCATCTGTATCATCCTGCTTGGCTGAAGTTTTAGTCTATGTCAATTTAAAACAAAATGGAGATTAGAACATTTTCGGAAGCAGAATGAATGGATCTGTTACTACACAGACCTGGATCATCAGTTTGCTCATTTTGAGGATCATTGTTCAATCCCTTTAAGAATTTACTTTTTTGTATGTTCTTTCAATTCCTGAATGCTTTCAACCTCAACTACTTATCTTTCTTCTTTAGAGCGAAGCATCAAGTTCGGGTGCATTCTGAAGAACGGTTGAAGGATTTACATTTAGCTAATCTACCGGTAGAAAAAAGAAGGACTGGGGGGGACACAATAGCGGTATTCCAGTATTTGAGAGGCTTCCACAAAGAAGAGGGGGTCAACCAAAGCATTCGAGGGAAGACAAGAAACAATGGGTGGAAACTAATGAAGGACAGAAGCAACCTGGAATTGAGGAGAAACTTTCTAACAATTAAGTGAGGACATTTACCAATGGAACAGCTTAGCTTGCCTTCAGACCTTGTGGGTGCTTCATCACTGGAGGTTTTTAAGAAGAGACTGGACAGACAATTGTCTGAAATGCTTTAGGATGTCCTGCTTGAGCAGGAGGCTGGACTAGAAGACCTCCAAGGTCCCTTCCAGCTTTATTCTGATTCAACAAATACAGTATTCATTGGCATAGTTCAAAGGAGATCTCTCACTTAGAAATCTAGGTACAAGTAATGCAGAAACACTACAGCTGTAGAATGTAATTTCTTATTCATTTTTAAAATTAATATTTATGCAGCAAGAAGAAAACAATAATTTAATACCAGCTCAATTTCTTCTCTTCTCTCACACTGATCATCATTAGCATTCTCTGACAGGAATGATATTTCTACAGCTGTGGTTGAAAAACCATGGCTGGAATCTTGTGCAAACTGGCTGGCTTGCAGCTGCAGGAAAAAGAAAGGTTGAAGTTTGAGAATTGGGAAAACATAGGCATTGACCAAATAGAATAGAATAAAACAGAATACTTTATTGGCCAAGTGTGTTTGGACACACAAGGAATTTGTCTTGGTGTAAATACTCTCAGTATACATAAAAGAAAAGATACATTCGTCAAGAGTCGAGAATCATAAGGTACGACACTTAATGATAGTCATAGAGTACAATAAGCAATCAAATCATACTAGGAAACAGTCAATATAAATAAATCATAAGGATACAAGCAACAAAGTTACAGTCATACAGTCGCAAGTGGGAGGGGATGGGTGATAAGGAGTGGTGAGAAGATTAACAGTAATAGTAGTGCAGACTTTGTAAATAGTTGGACAGTGTTGAGGGAATTATTTGTTTAGCAGAGTGGTGGCTTTCGGGGAAAAACTGTTGTTGTTCTGGTGTGCAGTGCTCTATAACGTTGTTTCGAGGGAAGGAGTTGAAACAGCTTATGTCTGGGATGTGAGGGGTCTGTAAATATTTTCACAGCCCTCTTTTTGACTCGTGCAGAATACAGGTTCTCGACTGAAGACAGGTGGGTGGTAATTTTTTTTTCTTCAGTCCTAATTATCCTCTGAAGTCTGTGTCTGTCCTGTTGGGTTGCAGAACCAAACCAGACAGTTATAGAGGTGCAGATGATAGACTCAATAATTCCTCTGTAGAACTGGATCAGCAGCTCCTTGGGCAGTATGATAGATAGATAGATAGATAGATAGATAGATAGATAGATAGATAGATAGATAGATAGATAGATAGATAGATAGATAGATAGATGATAGATAGATAGATAGATAGATGATAGATAGACAGACAGACAGACAGACAGGATAATTTTTTTCTATAGAATAAAAAAATAGAAAGATTAAAGGTTTATAGATGTTAGGCATTTTTAAAATGTATATTTAAATAATATAAGAGGATTATTTAAATTTGATAAATCTGATAAAGAATACTAATATTGTGGTAAATTGGATTAATATGAATTATACTGTTCACACATAATATGGATGCATACTTAAAAAAATAGATACCGTGTTTCTCCAACAACTTGCCCCCCCAATAGGAAGGCCCAGCATGTTTTATAGTCATGAGGTGAAATTAAGCCCCTCCCCCAAAATGTGGACCTATTTAAAACATGTAAATAGGGGGAAGGGCGGGGGGGAAACATGCCATTAGGAGTGGCCTGCAGGCAGCCACGCCTCGTCACCAGCCACTCCTAACGGCCAATCATGGCAGAGCACGGAGAGTTCCCTACCCCTGCCAAGCGCCTTTGCTTCAGACCCGGGTATGGTGCTGGCTCCAGGCTGGGTCATCGGGCGGGTGGCAGCGGTGTGGGTGTTGGCCTCAGTGGTGGCAGGGCACTTTACGTTGCAGGAACTTCGTTGCCTGCCGCTGCTGCTTTCCCTTCTGCCTTCGCCGCAATTTATGCCGCGTTCGGAGTGCTGCCAGTGGGCAAGACACAGAGCCCAGTGTCCCCGCTGGACATCGCACCACAGCCGGCAGCGTTTCAGCCACTTCTCGGGTGGGGGATGGTTGATGATTCCTCCCCCCCCTCCCAGTAGTTTTAAAAAGGGAACTATCTATCCATTTTGACCTTTGAGCAGAGGCAAAACTTCCAATCCAAACATAATGGAAAGAGAATCATCCTACAGACCCTTAGCACCCCCTTAAATGCATTCCCCACCCTCATCTCCTTGAAGGATAGAAATAGGATGGAAATCCACCTTCTGGATTTCTCCTGGCAAATCCCATGATGATTCCCTTTCTCTTATGTTTGGATTGGAAGGTTTGCCTCTGCTCGAAGGGCAAAATGGATAGATGGTTCCCTTTTTAAAACTACCGGGGGAGGGGGGAGGAAGCTGCCCGCCCAGTCTGTATTCTTAGGGAACTGACGGAGGGAATGAGAATAAAGAAAACTTAAAGAGGGGGGAAAGGTCCATGGGGTGGGGGGAGGTTTCAGTCAGCTGGAGCAAGAGGAGAGAGCCCGACCATACAGGTGACGAGACCGTGACCTGTATGTTGGATTTTTTAAATAATATTGTCTTTTTATCTTCTCCCAGTTCAAAAACAATGCCTCACGAATATGTCTTCTGAAGTACCCCTGTGTTTTAGTTTTAGTTATACCAGAGAAAGGCAAGCTATCCCAGCAGCAAGTCATGGCCTTCTAAAGTCAATAATCTACTGTTCCTTAGTGTTATCCATTCCTTTACCCACATCAAACTTGTTGCCTGGTAATATAGCTCCCAATTGGGCAAACCCTCCTCTTATTCTTGCATCTTGTAACAGTTTTAATTTTATTCTTGCTTTTTTACCCTGCCAAATATATTTCAACACAATTCTATTTAAATCTTCAAACAACTCTTTCCCTAATCGAATAGGAATTGTCTGGAATAAATATAAAACTCTAGGCAATATATTCATCTTAATTGTAGATATTCTCCCAATCAATGATAGTTGCAGTTTTTCCCATTTCATCAAATCTGTTGCAATCTGCTGTTTGAGTTTAACATAGTTATCCTCCTTCAGTGTACTACATCTTGGTGTAATATGAATCACTAAATTATTTATTCTTGACTAAAGAGTTACTTAAAAGAGGAGTAAACTAGAGATGGCTGATGCCAGAAGGTGTCTTGTTCACTTGGCAGGAACAAAGACATAGAATTGACACAGTTGGAAAAGCTGAGCTATTCTACTTAGAATACTTTAGAGAAAAGGAGGAAGAAGAAAGAAAGGAAGAGTCACTAATTGAGTTCCAAGAGGAGTGTATAGCAGTAATTGAAAAAGAAAAAGAAGAAGGTGCAGGAGGCGGTGAACCCAGAGAATAACGAGAATTGAGATCTACAAGAGCAATAAAACCCTCTTATAAGCGTAACATGGATGAAAGAAAATTGATTATGATTAACATAAATGGACTTAATTTGGCTACTAAAAGAAGGAAAGTATTTCATAACTTAGAAAAATTAAAATTAGATATAATCTGCTTACAAGAGGTACATATTAAAATACAACATGAATATATACTAAAACAAGGAAAACTAGGGAAATTACATCACTGGCACAATCTTAAAAAAGAAGCGTGGTATTATATATTAAAGAAACAATTTTGGCAGAACTAATTTACACAGATGATGATGGAAGGATTTTGATGGTGGAAATAATGGATAACAGCGTTAAAACACTTTTAATTGCAATTTATGCCCTGAATGATAAACAAGAAGAATTCTATAGAAAATTACATACAAAAATAATTGAATTGGACTATGTTAATATTTGTATGACGGGAGATTTTAATGGAATAACTATAAAACACGGTTGAACTATAAAACACAGAAAACAACAAAGAAAGTTAGAAAGATACTACCAAAATCCTTCCTTCGCATAACAGAAGAATTTAATTTAAAAGATGCATGGAGAGAGAGAAATGTGGAAAGTAAGCAATATACTTTTTATTCAAACAGGCACACATCCTGGTCTAGAATAGATATGATATGGATGTCAGCAGAATTATTGACTAATGTACGACAGATTGAAATAGAAACAAGCACTTGGGCAGATCATAATCCAGTGTCAGTTATTTGGAAAAGACACAAGAGGAGATCCAGATGGACTTTAAATAATATGATACTGAAAGAGAAAGACTTTAAACAGAAAATAGAGAAAGAACTTGTTTTCTTCTTCAAAGAAAATAGAAAAGAGGATACATCTTTACAGAATGTCTGGGACATGATGAAGGCCTACACAAGAGGTTTGGTAATAGATTATACTAGGAGAAGAAACATAAAACAGAAAAAGACATTTAAGACATTAGAGGATGACTATAAAAGACTGGAAAAAACTTTACAGATGTTCCCACAAAAAAGGACATTAAAAATAAAATGGATATAATTAAACATAAAATGGGATTAATGGAAAAAGAGGAATTAGCACAAAAATTAAAAAAGCTAAACAGAATTACTTTGAAGATGCAAATAAACCAGGCAGATGGCTAACTTATAAACTGAGAAAGGGAAGAGAAGCAAGAAGAATTATTCAATTGATAAATAAACGACAGGTTTATTATGGAAATGAGGAGAAGAAAAAAATTATACAAGACTACTATGGAAAACTGTACTTTCAAGAGAATATTCAAGAAGAAAAAGTTAAACAAATCTTCAGAAAGCGAACCTACCTCAGATACTCAAAAACATTGAAACAATGTTAGAAGGAAGTATAACAATGATGGAATCAACAGAAGCCTTAAAAAAACAGAATGCTGGGAAAGCACCAGGTCCAGATGGTTTGCCAGCGGAATTTTACAAGACTTTTCAGGAAATATTTAATTTTCATCTTTTAGAAGTTATGAATGAAGTTATGTTAAAGAAAAGAATACCAAAAACATGATCAGAAGCATACATTACACTTATACTGAAGGAAGGTGCAGACCTACAGCAAGTTAAAAATTATAGACCTATATCTTTATTGAACTCAGACTATAAAATCTTTGCTTCAATTTATAGACCTATATCTTTATTGAACTCAGACTATAAAATCTTTGCTTCAATTTTGGCAGAAAGACTAAAAAGATACTTAAATAATTTTATTCATACTGATCAAAGTGGATTTCTGCCAAAGAGACAAATCAAAGACAATGTGAGAATCATTTTGGATACTCTGGAATATTATGAAGCTCACCCTGAGAAGCAAATGGCCTTGATGTTTCTAGATGCTCAAAAAGCCTTTGACAATGTGAGTTGGTGATTTATTTTACTGCAATTGATACAAATGGGCTTTGGTAAGAAATTTATCCAAGCCATTGAAACAATATACCATGAACCAACTGCAAAGGTGATGATGAATGGAGAATTAACAGAATCCACAGATATATGAAAAGGGACAAGGCAAGGCTGTCCATTGTCGCCTCTGCTGTTTGTGTTAACATTGGAAGTCTTGAATCGGAATATCAGAGAAGAAAAAGAAATAAAAGGAATGAAAATTAAAAAGGAGGAGTATAAATTGCAAGCTTTTGCAGATGACCTGGTATTTATATTAGAAGACCCATTAGAAACAGCACCCAAATTAATAGAAAAAATAGAAGAATATGGAAAAGTAGCAGGTTTGAGAATAAACAAAGACAAAACAAATATATTAACAAAGAATATGTTAGCAAGATGAAAGAAAGAGTTCGAAGAAATTTTAAATTTCTCTTCTCATCTCTCTTACTCTTCTTGGTATCTGTTTCAGCACCACAATTTCTTTATCTTTATATTTTAGTGTTTTCTCTCTCGCCACCTGGAGTATCTGTGTCTTAATAATCTTCTTAGTAAATCTAATGTGAACTTCTCTTGGTAATCTATTCCTCATTGCATATCTTGTGTAGACACGAAACACTTCGTCCATCCCATCCATCATCTTTTCTTTGGTTATTTCCAGTGCTTCTGCCAATATTTCTGCCATTATTTCAGCAAGATTTTCACCTTTTCCTTCTTCTATATTTTGAAAATTTAGATAAAATTCTGATTTGTCTATTTCCCATCCTAGTGGTTCAAATCTGCCCTTCTCGACATCGCTCAAACAAATATCACTATCTCCAATTTTCTTATCTCTTTGAATATCTTCTTCAATTTTTTTGAATCTGTCTTCATATTTCATCATCATCTGTTGAATATTTTCCACTTTTTCATCTGTCTTTTCCATTTTTTGCTCAATTTTCTGAATTCCTTGCATAATCATCTGTAATGTCACTTCCTTCTCTTTCTCTTTTTCCTGTTGTAATATTGTCTGTATAGATCGTTGTCCTCCAGATGGTGAGGGAGTTGGTATCAAAGAAGCTGGGGCTGTTGTCTTTCTACTCATCTTGTAATGCTTATCTGTAAAGAAAGAGAGAGAAAAAAGAGGAAAAAAAGAGGAAAAAAGAAAAAAAGAAAAAAAAACGAAGGCAAGCAATTGCCACTCTAAAGGAAAAAAGGAAAAAGTAAATCTTCAGGCACTTGTATACCTTAATACAATTAGCTGCAATGGTAGATGTAAAAAGTAAAAAAGGAAAAAGGAAAAAAGAAAGAAGAAAAATATTCTATATCTTCCTCTTAATAAACAAAAAGAAAACCAAAATAAAAGGTTTACATTCTAGTTCCTGGTTTAAAAAGCTAAAATCCAATTAAAGAGAAAAAAAGAGCCCTACTAGTGGTGGGGGGGTAGAAAGGGAGGCAAAAGGTAAAAAGCAATTCTAATATAAAACAAGCCTCTGCCACCAAATATCCAAGGCTCTTTGATAAATCAGCTCAGAATTTTTCAAGGTCACTTCAATCTTCTTTCTTTCAACTTCAACTCCGGCTATCTGTTCAGAAATGAGCACCTGAATAAACAAACTGCCATGCTCATCTCTATCTTTTCCAATACACAGCTCAGAGTCCTTGATTGTAACACAAACTAGTGAAAGAAAAAAGAAACAATGTATCCAAGCCTCTGGGTGGCAATGCTACTTACTTTCCTTCACTTTCACTTCCCCCTCCTCAATCTACAACCAGGAACTAAAAAAAAAGTGAAGTCTTTTCCCCTTTTTTTTGAAGGAGAAAAATAAATCGAGTCAAGCAGACGAATCTTAGTCAAAAAGGGATTTTCAAAAGGGTTGTTTAAAAAAGGGACGAAGAAATACAAGCAAAGATTAAACGATTAAAAAGTACCAGTCCAGCTTAAAGTTAAACAGCTTTGCCAGATTCAAAGTTGCAATAAAAAGGGAAAAAAGAAAAAAAACTTTCACTTTGACAATTAATCACGCCGCTTAAATTCTTTTCTCTTCACTTTTAGTCCATTTTAATTTTTTTCAGGGTGTTCTCTCCAAGAAATAATAAGTAAAAGTTGATCTCACCAAACTGACACACTTTCTTTCCAATCTCTTCCATTCCGGAGCTGTCCCAGCTTCAGCAGCTTGGAAGGCTGCACCTCTGCCACTGGCAAAAAGGGCTTTTCCTGGATCAACCAGGGACTTTGCGATGTCCCTGGGATCGACAGGATGTGCCCTCTTCAATCACCGTCTCTACGGGATGGTTTAGGTCCGGTGGGACCGTCCTGCAACGGAGATATCAGTGGCGATCTTGGAGCTTCAAGATCGCATGCTGTACCACTGAGACTCCAGCTCCACCCCCATCGAAATGGAGCTCAGGAGTATGGTTTATCTTTCAATTGTCAGCAGATAGCGCTCCTGTCTCAAATTTTAATGCTGCCTTTTTTTCCAGCAGATTTTAATTACTGTTAGAATCCATTTATTTCAAAACACAGTCAATTATTTAGATGAGCCAGGTCCAGCATTTAAATTAACCAGTAACTAGTTCTAGCGTTTAGAATGCCTTTTCAGAATAACCCCAAGCCAGTTCAAAATCCAATATTCAATGCTTTCAAATAAAAACTCTTATTTCTTTCCTATTCCAGTTTTTTCCAGGGCTGAATCAATAGTTCAAAGTGCCCATTAGCCGCTAATATTAATCTTTTGAAAGTCTTTTTGTTCCAAGATCATTTCTTTGGGGATAATTTTTAGGCAGAAATCAGGCTTAATCTCACCCAGTCACACACTGTTCCTCTACTCGCTCCTGCACTGCCTTTGTTGCTTTGGCTGTTCCAGCTTTGTGGCAGGCATGGTGGCCACTGCTGCTCTTCGCCTTTGGGATTGAGGGCTTTCCCCGGGTCAAGCAGGAGAGTTGTGTCCTTCGCCTCCCCTACAGGGTGGTTTTGGCTCCTTACAAAACCCTTCGATGGGGAGAGTTCAGCGCAGGATCGCAGATCTGCGATTCCTGCCACTGAGGTTGCTGCAACGTCAACTGGAAGTCTGAATGAAAACGATCTCTGACAACAAAGAAAAGTTATGTTACTTATTTAGACTAATATGTCATGAAAAAACAATTCCTTAGCAAAATAAAGGAAGCATCCATACCAATATAGAATCTTTCTCCTCAATGTTTTGAAAGACTTCTGTGCTACAAGATGATGTTTTATCTTCTGTGGATACTCCAGGAGACAAAATAGAGACAGTCTGACTGAGAAGATCTTCAGTGACCTCACAATCTTTCAGTTTATCCTGAAGTTGCTGTTGTTGTTGTTTTTTTTAAAGGAAAAAAATAAGAACCAGTTTAATGCTAACCAAGTTTAACATAGAAGACTTGAAGAAAAACTATTTCTATACCACAGGGTACATTTACTATCCAGAAACAGAGAGGAGCTAATTTAACTTTTATTAGGGTTTCCCGATGTTATAACTCCATCACTAGCCATACTGCAGTTTTTCTAACTCTTTAAAACAATCATCTAAACCCCTAAGTGAAGATGCCAAAAAAGTTTTGAATGGGATAAAATGGTTAAGTAATTCTTCAAGAAATGTTACTGAGAAAAATATGATTCAAGCCAGCTGTAGCAAAGAAGAGGATACACCACACCTTACCCAATCAGCATTTAATATGCTGGTAAATGCACCTGCTCTCATTACTTGATAGATTAGGATTGCAAACCCCCATACCCAGAGCTGTTAGTATGTGCCTGGAGGTTTCTAAACAGAAAGCTATATGTATTACTGAAAGATTTCAGTTCTTCACATTCTCAATCTCCATGGCTTTAAATGGGCATATCCTGTAAACTAAGCTTATAGAGCTAGGTTTCTGTTACAAATATACAAACAGAATGGAAAAGCAAAACACTTTTGTCTCACCATTACCACCATTACTTTTTTCACTTCTTTGGTAAATCAACTTTACTTTCAAATTAAAATGTATCTGAATGGAATGTTCATTCTCAAGAAGGATTTGATTTGAAGAGAGAAAGAAGATAGAGCAGGCAACAAAAACTGAGAAGAGAGAAATCCTGTAGAGATTTAAGAAGAGATGTCAAAACAAAAACAGAAGAAATAAACTCAGGAGTATTGCCTCAGCTTATATCTTAAGAAGGAGGGAAAAACTGTTTAATTGGGGTGCCTATGGGCTTTAGAAACAATGAAATAAGAGCATCTGGTGATGGAAGAGCTCAACAGGGCTCACGTAACAGCAGCAGCCGTGGGGGGAGGGAGCTATTGCTTGGAGCAGGGGTCCCCAACCACCGGTCCCTGGACCGGTACCGGTCCGTGGATCATTTTTTACCGGGCCGCAAAGCTTGGGCACTGCCATCTTGTTTCGATGGCGCTTCCGGGTTTTCGGTTGCTTCTGGGTTTTTGGTTGGAAAGTGCTTCCGGGTTTTCAGTTGGAAAACGGCGTTTGGGTGCTCGCGCCTTAGTTTCATCGAAGGGGGGGGGGCGGCTTCGAACGAAGAGCCGTCCCGATGGCGGTGGAGTCTCGCGTTACTCAGGTACCGGTCCGTGGAAGAATAAATGATCGTGAAACCGGTCCCTGGTTCAAAAAAGGTTGGGGGCTACTGGCTTGGAGGATGGCATAAAATGGGCAGCAAGGAACAACAGAGGCAAGCTGTGTTTGAGATTTCCATATGAAGTAATGGATTATTTTGCTTGTCAACTAAGCACAGTTGGAGTTTGAGATCAGTTTTAAGTTCAATACATTATTTCTTTGGTTTTTGCATTTCTAAAATGCCCAAAGGGACTTTGGACAACATACGATAAAAATACAAAACACAGTATGTAAAAGTTAAAAATTTAGAAGGAGGAAAGAGTGATTAAAAACTATTAAAATCAATGGCAAAGGAAGGTCTAATTTCATGGCTGTGTATTCCTCTGGACTTCTCACATGTTTGAACTCCTTTTCAGAAGGCCAGGAGAGTGGAGGCCTGCTTCATCTCTGGGGAAAGAATATTCCACAGGGGGCAATGGTAGAGAAAGTCTCTTCCTACATCCAGCCACTCAGAGTTCTTTAACTGATGGGGTCTGCAACATACTATTCTTGCCTGATCAGGTGGGATAGGAAGGTGTAATGGGAGTGGGATCTTTTTTAGGTAGCCTAACCCTATGCCACGCAGTCACAACCAACACTTTGAATTGGACTCGGAAGCAGACTGGCACTCAATGCAGAGCACAAGTGTTACAATATCCTTCCTTGGGCTTATGGCTACTTTTCAAGGGTAGCTGCATGTACAGTATGTTGTAATAATCCAAACGAGATGACCACGGCATGAATGACTGAGTGGAGTGTCTCCCTATCCAAGCATTATGCATGTATAAATCATACAGGAAAATACTTTTCTCAAAGAAACTAAGACTGTTGAACATAGGAGGAGAGGAACTTTACTTTGCTATTAGGAAGAACCTCATTCCCATGACATGCTCCAAAATACTTCAATAAGCAACTCTATTTGTACAGCAGCTGTTTGCCTGAAGTCTCCAGAATAGTCTATGTACAAGACACTGTACATCCAGCGCTGTCTAAACAATGAGAGTTTTTAAATGGCAATGAAAACCAGAGATTTGTGATGGGACCAAGGCTATGATGACCGCAGAAATTGTTAAGTCCAGAACTTGGAGAATTTGGAAGTTCATCGGGAGAAGGTTGTGTCTTAGCCTCAGAGTTGACACTCAGTTTATATAGTCTGTCTCATTATTAAACACAGATAATACAAATGATTTGAAATTATTAGCCAAATGTCTATGATTAATTATAGACAGAATTATACATCCGTATCAATCAGCATTTATAGGTAGTCCTCAACTTATGATTGTAATGGAGCCCAGAATGTCCATCATAAATAGTGGTCACTTGGTTGCAGGATGCTACAAACATGGGGCTAGCCTGACCCACTCATTCACTCTCAGGCCACTTAAAAAAGGTAACCACTCTTTAAACATGATAAAATAGGCTTCTGGGTCTTCTTCCTCTGACAACTTGGGAGTTTTTATGTCTTTAGGACCACCTCCACGCTCCACATGGTCTGAAAACTTTAGAATTGAATGAACACCTTCTGGAGACTGTATTTCTTTAAGTAAATCTATCAGCCACTTAAACTCTTCTCTTCTTGCCTCTCTTTCATTCATTTCCCGTGTCAGCCTATTTTTCCTTCTTTCTCTCTCCAAAGCAGCCCCCTTTCCTCTTCCTCTTTTTTTTTTTTTTTTTGTCGTTGTTCGTGAAACTCAGCTTTTCTTTTTGCTGCTGCCTTAAGAGGCTATTTTAATCTGAAAAATTTTCACAAAGAGGCTGGCTATTCAGTGGTGGAATAGAAGACCTTGACTGGGAAATACTAAAGTGTTTAATACTAAAGAATTATATGATTACTGAATGTATACATTGAAATGACAATATTTTAGTAGTACCTAAAATTCTTGTAGCTCATTATTTTCAGTATACTATATCTGTTATGACCTTTTTTTAAAAAAAAACCAGGCCAATTACTTTCTTAAACCCTACTGATTCATCATCATCATTTAGTAGACTATTCTGAACTCAAATAAAACAATTGCCACATTTATATTTTATAGTTATTCTAAATAAGGATATCATTACCCTGACCCATAATATCCAACATAAACTTGACATGTTTTAAAATTTAGGGAGCCTCATGAATTGAGAAAATTGATTATGTATTCCTTTTCTTCACTTAATTATAAAACTTATTATCTGTCTTCATATAAGATTCTTGAAGTTGCTACACAATTACACACAATATTGTTTGAGGTAATCATGGAAGAAAATAAATACCATGAATCTTAAATATCACTAGATAATAGTAACATGATTTACATTTTGTATTATTTAAATTCTATATTTCAGACATTTTTATACCTTTGGAAAATGAAAGTATTGTGCTTAATACAAATTAAACAATGACTAATCCAATATTAATGACTATTGTTGTTTAAATTTTAGACAGTTTATGCTTAATTAAACTACACCTGCAGATCAGAAATCTTCTTCTAAAGAAAATGAAGATGTATGCCACAATAGTAACTGCTAAAAATCAAACAAGTTTTTGAGAATCAGAAAGTTCTAATGTTTATTCTAGTCTATATCTGCAAGAAGTTAAATAACTCTGTCAGAAACACTGAGGAAATAAAGCAAAATACAAATACTCAGCACAAAATTTTAAAAAAGCATGCAACCAGAGTTAGTGACACACAATGACAGTGTTATCACAGGGAATCTCATCAAAAGAACATATAAAATGAAGAAATGGTTCATACCAATACAATATCTTCATTCTGGGTGTGAAGAGGGATTTTTGTAATTCCAGGTGGTGATTCTTCTTCTGCAACAGTTTCAGCAGAAACAACAGAGTCAGTCTGGCTAGGAGATTCTTCGTCAGGCTGACTATCTTTTGGTTTGACCTGCAACATTTATTTAGAACATAGAAAGATTTTAAAAGCAAACCATTCCCCCACCCCAAGAACAAAATGCTATCTTTTTACTAGGAAAAGAGAGTGGATCAAACAAATCAAACAAATTAAAACTGAAATCACCAGTGCAGAAAACTTCAAGATGTATGACCAATTTTTGAGAAATCTTCTATGGAAATTATATCATCAACCTGTCACTAATATGCTAAAAGTGTTCAAAAAATGGAAGCTGATCAACTTTACATATAGTTAAATATGAACTATGGTTTAAACTGAATCCTTTCCCCCTCCTCTTTCCCCCCTCCTCTTTCTTCATCATGTTATTCCTATGCTATGACTGTTCCTGGAAATCCAAGAAGCTTATAATATGCACAGAAGTCTACTTTGCCCGGGCATTTAAAATGTGAAATCCACACATCTTAAATTGCCAAGGTTGAGAAACATTGTTTTAGAACAAGGGATTTAAGGTAGCATTGCCAACGCCCTTTTATGGTTTGGAAGCTCATCATCTTATTATACAAATATTCTAAATCCTTTCCTATTATTCAGTGAAGTTGCAGTATTTACCTTGTCCTGTTTAAATTCCTTGGAATCTTCTGGCTGTTCTTTCACCTTCTCAAATGTTTTCTTTGGCTGCAACAGAAGAGTCTCACATGATGGACATTTATTATATATAGGCATTCTGCCTTGGCACCTAATGACCAGACAGGTTATTTAGGATTCAAGACAATAAACACAGTCATAGAACAAAGTGCTTAAAAGTTGATTAAAGATAATGTATACCCATATGTCCTTTCTGCTAACAGGAACTGTAGAAAAGATTGCAGAAAGGCCCCTTTCTCACACCAGCTGGAACACTGCACTTCCCAGGTAGTTCTACAATGGAGTTCCCATCCCATCTTAGCTTCTCTTGGCTTATATATGTTTTTGTAAGTGAGGGAGATTAATCTGATTTACATCTGGAAATGTCTGCCAAGAACATTCCTTTTTTTTTCTTCGCATCTATCAACTCATCCTTCCTTTTGGAGTCACACATTTGTTCATAACAATAAGGACAAGATAAGCAACATAAGTCTAGGACATAAGGTACATATGTATCAAGGTCAGTACAAGGTAAGGCTACTAAAAGGTAGGCAAAGGAAATACAGAGTGCAAAGGCAAACAATAATGGGTGATATAGGATAATACAGAGCTTATATAAGGTATCAGAGAAAAAGTAGGTTGCACCACTATGCCTCCACACTATTACTTTCTCGTAAACACTACAACTATAGAGGTAGTCTTTGACTTATGACGATTGGGACTAAAATTTCCATTACTAAACCAGGAGGTTAAGTGAAGCCCATCTGATTTTATGACCTTTTTTGCCACGGTTGTTAAATGAATCACTACAATTAAGTGAATTGCATGATCATTAAACAAAATCTGGTTTTCCCCCATTGACTTTGCTTGTTGCAAACCAGCTGGGGGAAGGTTGCAGGTGGCACAACCCCTTAAGCATACAACTGTCAATGAATCCTTGCCAGTTGCCAAGTCCTCAAATTTTCATCACATGCCCATGGGGATGCTGTCACGTCATAAGTACAAGGACCGATCACAGGTCACATTTTTTCAGGATCACTGTAACTTCCAACAGTCACTAAATGAATGGTTGTATGTCTTATGACCACAACTGAGCCCAAAATGTCCATCATTAAAACAGTTGTTAAAAGAATTTTGTCCCACTTTACGACCTTTCTTGCCACAGTTGTTAAGTGAATCACTGCGGTTGTTAAGTTAGTAAGATGATCGTTAAGTGAATCTAGCTTCCCCATTGACTTTGCTTGTCAGAAGGTTGCAAAAGAAGGCTTTTTGCGATCAGCATAATCCTGGGACACCACAACCATCCTAAATACATGCTAGTTGCCAAGTGAATGAATTCTGATCATGTGACTCCAGGGATACTGCAACAATGATAACAGTGCAAAACAGGTGAGAAAAGATAATAAGTACAAAGACTAATCCGAGTCATTTTTTTTCAGTGCTATTGTAACTTTGCACAGTCACTAAAATGAATTGTTGTAAGTCAAGGACTACCTGTACTCTATTTTGCTTAGGCCTTTATGTCTAGCTTCATTAAGTGAAATAGCTATTTGGCTTTGCTTGTAATTTCCAAACATTTAAGATACATAATTATTTGGAGCACAGAAACAGAGAAGTAGTTAAGAAAGCAATAGTAACTGCTCTAAACAATTATTTAATGGTCACAAGCTGCCATTATAATACTGTATGTATCTTTAAGCTGCATTTTTCTTCATTTGTAGCTTTTTGAGTATTTCCCACTGAGACATCAGCATTGTATTTTCTTTCATGAAAGAGCAAAAAGTTGTGTTTGTTTTCCAACTGGCATACAACGATGTCCACAACAAACTGCACTATATCAAAATGAGGTACAAATACTGCAATTATATAATTGCTTAATGAGACTTGAGATATGTATATAAATCATGCCAAAAGTGTGGTATTATCATGCATATCTCAGTATTTCCTCCCCATACCTCCCGTGTTGCAGCTTCCAATCTTGCTTCCAAATCAGGACACAAGACCACGAAAGGTTGGAGAATACAGGTTTTATTTGCGCAAAGCGTTCAGAGCATTAACATGGCAAATTCTGAACCCCCAGTTCTTCCTGAGACAATCGTTTTATACTCTTTATGACCTCAGTTCCGACCTGGGCGTTCCTTTCACTACATTTTACCAAATAAGGATAATACTGTATACATGTCTATTAAGGAAGATAATACTGTATACATGTCTATTAAGGAAGAGATAACAAGTATATTTTTGATTACTCAGTTATCTTACACCATCACTTATTTTCTATGTTCACCCTTGTTTACAGTAACGTGGTTAGTTCAAGTTCCTGAATTCAGCAGTTTTGTGGGTTTACACAATGTTACGTTAAGCAAAGTAACGGGAAGGGACCTTTGCTAAATATGACTTGTTGACCTGTGCTAAATATAAAAAGTGCTTTATATGCTCTATATGAAAAGTGCTTTATATACTCTATATGAAAAGTGCTTTATATGCTCTTTTTCAACTGCTTCACCCGAATATCCACGAATGTACATATGAGAAATTGTCTGAATATATTTGTTGTAAAAATACACACTGTTCCTGAAGAATTTTTTTTTCTTACCGGCACATTGATTGAGAAGGAAGAACTTGATTGGTTTTGAAAATTACCTCTTCCTGCAGAAAGAGAAACAGTTAAATGAAAATAAGTTTCCAATGAATTCCATGAGATAGGAGACAAAAATTTGGAAAAGCTTTGTTTTGCGGTATTATTCTTTTCAGAGTACCTGAAAGAATATTGGGGATTCAATTATGCACGTGTATATTGTTGTGCTGAAAGTTAAATATAGTAGAGGAGAGGAACCATCCAAAAAGTTAAAAGAAACAGATTTAAATTTTGCTGTTGGTTTTGGCTACTATACTGGAACCAGGAAAAGGAAAGTTCCTCCTTTAAAATGTAAATGCTGCTTTCCTGAACAGGAGATTGATGGCACTTTTTAAAAATTCAGTGCTGGATTGAGAAATCATGGAAGTAATAGTAATAATGGACTGTCCATTAGAGCATGTGCTGTAACACTTGCCAGTTTTAAGGCGCGAGATATAGATAGATAGATAGATAGATAGATAGATAGATAGATAGATAGATAGATAGATAGATAGATAGATAG